CCACATTGTTGAAGTTGGACTCTCTCTACTTGCTCATGCGTCTATGCCTCTAAAATATTGGGATGAAGCTTTTATTACAGCAACATATCTCATTAATTGTCTTCCAAGTAAAGTTATTGGCAACTCCACTCCTTTGGAACGTCTCTACCATCAAAAACCAGACTACAACTCTCTCAAAACTTTTGGGTGTGCTTGTTACCCCAACTTACGTCCGTATAATCATCACAAACTTGAATTTCGTTCCACTCAATGTGTTTTTCTAGGCTATAGTAATCTACACAAGGGATACAAGTGCCTAGAAATTTCCACCAGACGTATATATATTTCTCGAGGTGTAATTTTTGATGAAACTCTCTTTCCGTTTGCCAAGATTCATCCCAACGCAGGCGCTCTTCTCCGTGCTGAAATAGCACTTCTTACGGATCTTGACACACTATCTGATCACGGGGGTGAATTATCTGTAGCTAACCATGTGAACAAATCCGCAGAAAATTGCAGCCCTAATGATGTATGTACAAATGCAGCTCATGATTTTATGTGTCCAGAAACAGACAATACAGGTGTTGCTGATCACGAGGAGGATTCTGGCGGCAGCAGGCGATCTGGCACGCGATCCCAGGCGAATCCTGGCGCTAGCGCCAGCGCAATCATTGGCGCACGATCCGAGGAGGATCCTGTCCACCTGCATGCGGAGACGGCGCGTGACCCGGTGGCCGATAGTGACCGCGTGGATCCCACCAGCGCATGCGGGGCTGGAGGCGAATCCCCGCTTGCCACGAGCCCACGGTCCGCGGGGGTGGCCGACCAGCCGCCCGACCGGGCGACCGCGGCTGGGTCCAGCCCATGGGCCCCGATGTGCACGTCCACCCGTGTGGAGTCCTCAGGCGACACGCGGCCCGCTTCTGCTGGTGGATCAATCCAGAGGCCGATTCTGTCTGCAGAAGAGACGGCATGCGATCCCGTGGCGGCGCGCGATCCCGTGGCTGCTGGACGTGTACAGGACGCTGGATCTTTTGTGGACGCCTCTTCTGCTGCACAAATTGTTCCTCGGCGTCACACATGGTCACAATCGGGTATTACCAAGGAAAAGGAATACAAAGATGGCACCATTAGGTATGATAAAAAACGTGCTTTTCTCAGTACTACTGGTGAACCAGTTAATCTTGCTGATGCCCTTGCTCACAAAGATTGGAAAGAGGCCATGGATAGTGAGTATGATGCACTTATGAAAAATAAAACATGGCACCTAGTACCATCAAAAAGTGGAATGAATGTTATTGATTGTAAATGGGTGTACAAGATAAAAAGGAAGTCAGATGGAAGCATAGACAGGTACAAGGCTAGATTAGTTGCTAAAGGTTTTAAGCAAAGGTTTGGGATTGACTATGAGGATACTTTTAGTCCAGTTGTTAAATCAGCCACAATTCGACTTGTCTTGTCCATTGATGTTTCCAGAGTTTGGAGCTTAAGACAGCTAGATGTTCAGAACGCGTTTCTTCATGGTGTTCTTGAGGAGGAGGTGTTCATGCGGCAGCCACCAGGTTATGAAAATAAAGGTACACCACATTATGTTTGTAAGTTGGATAAAGCTCTATATGGTTTAAAACAGGCGCCAAGAGCTTGGTATTCACGATTGAGCATGCAACTACAACAACTTGGATTTGTACCATCCAAAGCAGACACATCCTTGTTCTTTTACAATAAAGGAAATGTGACTATTTTTGTGCTGGTTTATGTTGATGATATTATTGTTGCTAGCTCGAGTTCAAGTGCCACCACTTGTTTGCTTAAGGATCTTAAGTTAGAATTTGCCCTCAAGGACTTGGGAGATCTTCATTATTTTCTTGGTATTGAGGTCAAACAGATAAGAGATGGTATACTTCTGACACAGGGAAAATACACAGCTGACATACTCAGGAGAGTAGGTTTGGAAAAATGTAAACCTGTGAGTACACCTATCTCAACTTCTGAAAAACTCTCTATTGAAAGTGGAGAGCCACTTGGATCAGAGGATGCAACAAACTAGAGGAGTGTTGTGGGTGCATTGCAATATTTGACACTTACACGCCCTGACATTTCTTATGCTGTCAACAAGGTATGTCAGTATTTACATGCTCCTAGCACTACTCATTGGACTGCAGTTAAGAGGATTTTGAGGTACCTTAAGTTTTCAGAGGGACTTGGACTTCAAATTACCAAGTCTTCTTCTATGCTTGTTACTGCCTACTCTGATGCAGACTGGGCAGGATGTATTGATGATAGAAGGTCAACTGGTGGATTTGCTGTATTTCTGGGATCCAATCTTGTGTCATGGAGTGCAAGAAAGCAGACTACAGTCTCTAGATCAAGTACTAAGGCTGAATACAAAGCTTTGGCAAATGCCACAGCTGAAGTAATGTGGATACAGACATTGCTTTATGAACTTGGAATTAAGACTCCAAAAGCAGCCAGATTGTGGTGTGATAATATTGGTGCAACCTATCTGTCAGCTAATCCTATTTTTCATGCACGCACAAAGCATACTGAAGTTGATTTCACTTTGTCAGAGAAAGAGTAGCTAGAAAGCTCCTCGAAATTCAGTTCATTCCTACTGGAGATCAACTTGCTGATGGATTCACAAAGCCTCTCACTATGAGGAAGTTAGATGAGTTCAAGTACAATCTCAACCTTGGTCGAAGTTCATGAGGTTTAGATTGAGGGGGAGTGTTAGAATATGTATAGGATAGTTTTATTCAAATTGTAATCTATCTCTATCTCCTTTCTTTCCTCTCCTCGTTAACCTCCTGTACCGAACCACCTAAGATTGATCTTCTTAATCTCTTCTTGTACTCCAAGGCATAGCCATTATATATAAACATGCGGCCGGAGACAAAGGGTTCAACGCTTCCAACCCAATTTACAGCACGAACCCGCCGTCTGCAGGTCCTGGGCGGCGACCGTCTCCGAGCGGCTCGCGCGGCCCACCCCGCACCTGTTGGCGCTCAAGGTCCTGCTCGGGCCCACAAGCAGTACCTGCTCGACCCAGCAGCGTCGCCGCGGCGCCATCTTCTCCTTGTTGATCGACCAAGAGGAGTCGCCGGCGCCGGTGATGCCAGCCCGCTTGCCCGCCGCGTTCAGCCACGCGACGGGCGATATAGAGTTGTCTGGCGCCTTGCCCTACGGCGACTTCTCGTTCGTGGAGGACAACCGCGTCGTCCTCGTCAACCCCGTTACCGGCACGCTCCAGAGCATCGAGATGTATGGCCCCCGGCGAAGGTTTGAGGTGGAACCCCAGCTGAGGGTCGCTGCTGGCGCCAACGCGTTGTTCGTTACCGAGTGTTTTGGGAGTGTCTCTCTGCTGTGGTGTGAGGAGGAGCGGTGGTTCGAGGAGAAGCTCCTCCAGCCCGAAGTGTTCAGAGGCTGCGACGCTATCCGCCTTGCGGACTACGCCGGCGGCACCCTCTACGCCATGGATTACAACGGCTTCACCTACATTGTCGACCGGCGTGGGCCGGGAATGCAGATTTTGTGAGCTTATGCACCCGGGCCTCACTATCCTAGCACTCCAATGTTACTTTGAGATCTGTGCTACACAACTACCTTATTACATGTAATTTTCTCTTTTTTGTTCCTCTCATATAAAACATGTCTTGAATTTCAAACTTTGCAGTACAACATAACTTTGTAACTAGAATGTGAGATAAAACTTTCAGATTTTTTTGTCCGACATAAATATGAAAATAAGATTTTTTTAATCAAACAAATCTCATTTTGTATATTTATGTTGGACCAAAAAATCTGTAAGTTTTATCCCACATTCTACATAGAAAGCTTTGTGGTGCTGCAAAGTTGAAGTACAAATACATGTTCTATATAAGAGAAACAAAAAAAAGAAAATTATTTGCATGAATGGTGATGCAGGAATGAGTGGTTGGATAAGGAGTACCCGGGTGCATAGGCTCTGAAACATGTTTTCGCGTGGGCCGCTGCCATGGGGGCTGAAGAGGCTCCGTGCGCCGAGCATTCTCAAGCAGTACTCCTCGATCCCTGGGTACACCTACCTGCGCGACACCAACAACCACCTGCTCGTGTCAGAAGGGGAGGTCATGTTCGTTGGTATGGTGCTCGCACCACAAGAACCCGGATGCCCCAAATCCGTCGGTGGCTTCGAGGTGTACACGCTGGATGTCAAGGTGACACGGTGGGTGAAAGTGGAGAGGCTCGCCGATGACCGGGCGCTGTTCGTGAGCGAGCAATCATCGTTGGCGGTGCGCGCATCCGAGACGCCGGGGTGCAGGGCCAACTGCATCTACTTTGTGAGCGAGCTCGACAAGCATTCCTACAGCAACAGCATTTGGGGCGTGTATTCCATGGAGGAGCAGAAGGTGCTGTTTCAACGCCCCGTCGGTGGTTCGCCGGGGAAGTACAAAGCTGGGCGGTGGTTCTTCCCTGGGGTCGGTGCCTCACCGGCGCGCTCTGGAAACTGTGCAAAACATGGAAAGAAGAGAAAATTCCAAATGCTCTAGGTATACACAAGCTGGTTTAGTCAGATTATATGAGAATGTGGAAGTAGATGCAGTTTGAATTTGAAGACTTGTGTTGCTTAGCAAAGGTTTATCAGAAAAATCATGTCCCCGGCACCTTCAGTCCTTTGTCTGATATATGGTCGATCACCTACAACAATATGTTACACACTTACAACCAAGAAGTTAAAATTTTGTCATGAACAGAGATGGAACTTGAACTTTTGTTCCAACAGAACCATTTCAGCCCAGCAGACAGAGATGGCATCATATTACACACCCGCATACAATGCGCACAGTAGAGATCCTAGTCCTAACCAAAAACCACTCTCATTAGGTATGTGTGCAATCGCGCAAACCAAACACATTCTACATTGGTCACTTCTTGTTCCGATAAAACAGCAATGTAAGAGACAAACCACATAAGAGTGTAAAAGAAAAGAGAAACTTCACAGGATGTATCATACAACGTCTCCGGTAACCTTTTCGCCGCGGGTTTCAAGCAGTGATCGCAGGAACCGCGGGTTGTTGCTGCTTCTCTTGGTTCCTCTTCATGTCCTTCGACTTCGCCTTGGGAGGGCCTGCCGCCTTTGGTTTCTGCTCTGTTTTCGCTACTGGTTTCTGCTCCGTTTTCGCTACCGGTTTCTTCTTATCAGGAGAGGGAGATGACTTCTTCTTGGGAACTTTCCGGTCACTGGTGTTGTTGCTTAGACTGATTGCACCTTGCAGCTTCAGAGCTGACTGGTTTGTGCTGGTGTTGTCTTTCTTTGATTGTCCCTTCTTCGGGTTTTCAGGGGTGACCATAGATCGGGGCTCCCATGGTCGTGCAGCGATCCAGCGGTCCATCCAGCTCCAGCCCCAGCCACCGTTCCCGACCCCATAGTTGAAGTTTCCTTGGCTTGTGGCAGACTTTGCCCTCCACTGCAAAAGGGCGAGGCATATGGTTTATAATCATTGAGATACATAAATGTTACAGTGCTCTGTGGAGCAGTTAATCATGAGTTTCGAATATAAACTTTAGGCATGAATTGTTGCAATATAATGAATTGTGATGTGAGTATTAGTAGCCAGTATGAACCTGATGGTTAAACGCATATGCCATGGCTCGCTCACGCTTTACTGCTGCTTCTTCCCTTAGATGTATCCTGGCAACTATTTCATCCATGGTATTCGAGCCTCCATTCCACGCAACCTGATAAAAACATGCCGATGAGCAAGATAAAATGTCAAGGAACTCATACTCTTGTCTCTAGTAAAGTTCAACCAATGGGCAACTTTCTGATGAAGAAACAGAGTTGGCGCAAGAAAGAGAATTACCTGCAAATTTTGGAGCTTTGCATCAAGTTTGACTTGGTTCTCTTGCTTCTTCTTCCTGTTGCGCCCTTCGGTGACCATGAAAGCACGCCGGTTTCTTAGCTCAGCCTGTAACTTGTTCCAAGACTGTATGTAGCTCAGTGTGGCACTGGTCTGCTTGGTAACTGGATTGCTCTGGCCAACAATGCGCAGTCTTTTAACTCCCCTCAGGCAACGGAGCGTCCTCCTTGCCTGCATTTAAGTGGTGATTATGTAGGGAAAATGCAATATGTTACCTATTCGCTCAATCAAACAGTAGAAATGAAGTTTTTGCTGTAGATTGTCGATATTACCTTGTGGCGCCGAAACGCGTTCTGAATCCGGGTAGCTGCCCAGTCTTCCAGTGCTGCGTTGTCTTCAGGGTCGCTGCTGGAAGAAGGAGCGTTGCTGGGCTTTTGCTGCGGCAGGTTGGCTCCATTGCGTTGCGCAGCAACCTTCTATGTAAAAGGAAGCATGTCAGGATGAATGCACAATTTAATCTTTTGTAAATGTTTATGGCTTAATTCATCGAGGATGTTCAGATGTCCAGGTGAAAACCAATAACACGACTGTAGCTGGTATGACAAATACAATAGCAACAAAAGTTTCATTGTAAATGTTGACCAGAATGGAATGTAGTCAGTAGCGTTTACTAGAACAGCCAATTTGTACCAGAGTTCATTCTAATTTAGACCACCTATTTTGTATCACAAGGAATGAGTCAAGGGATGTTAGGCCAATCGGCATATCAAAATCGACGTGGCAGAAAAAAAGAAGCTACGAAGGACCAATTCAACAGTCAAAAGTCTTTTTTCTCTGGACCCATTTCAGCAGTCAAGTTACTCTCACAGACCAGTCCAATGAACAACGTCCAAAAGTGACATTTGTACATCCACACCGTAACTCGCGGGGTACTTCTTTTCTAAGGAACACAAGTTTCTGAAAATTCAGAAACTTAATCTGACCCAAAATGTTGTTGATTAATTGCATAGCAAAGAATGGTCATGGCTTTCAGTTTTCCCCAACCATATCACACAAAATATCAACATAGATGACATAACTCATCTAGTATCACAGTATCCAACACCTATGCTGACGATTTCAGACGTCCTGAAGCCAGTGGGCAAGGTCAGATGCAGATAGCAGTAGCTCACCAAAACTCTGCAAGGCACGCAGGCAAGCAGGCATGGTTCCCATCCCAAAATCCAAGGCAGCACCCAACTCGACAGAGAAACTGTGCTACGAGTCAGCATCGATGACACCTTTCCCATTATTGCCACCGGCAAAACAAACCAAGGCTTTCTTACTTTCCTCCATTATGATTGCCACAGCGACAAGTCACCAAGTTGTAGCAGCACAAAGCGGTGCAGTTTGTCTGCCCTGGCCCTCGCTGCCGAATAATGATGGAATATGATGTGGAATGAAACCGATGGCATCTTTTTCTTTCATTCAGGTTGCTTCGAAGGCATGCAAGGGGGCCAGGGTGAGTCAGGGTGTGGTGTGGAAGGTTGGGGTAAAGGGAAATTTAAAGATTGATGGTAATAATATTTTTCTTGGATTCTGGAGAGTGGTAAAGAAAAGAAAGGGGGCATGTTGATGTGGGTGGAGGCATGGAGGGGGTACCTTTGCGTGCTTTGACTTGCCCCGTTTCGACTTCTTCTTGCTGATGATGGTCTTGAACCAGTCCCCTGACCCCATGGCTTCTGCTTCGTCGACCAGGAGTTCAGCTCAGGAGACGAAGTTTGTGTGCTCTTCAGATTTCTCCTTTGAAAATTCCCTTGCCTGGATCACATGAAAGAGAAAGGAGAGTAAATTATATCTGCAGGATTTATTTGGGGTGAGACAAAAAAGTCACAGCATCTCCAAGATGGTGCAACATGGGCTTGAATGGGTATTCACTTATTCTATTGTAGGAAGACAAACATGGCTTGGATGGAAACTGCTAGTGCTAGTGCAGCCGATGAACAAGTTCAGTGTCCTGAACTGAATCTCTCTGAGACTCATGTCAGCTATCTAGACAGTAAACAGGAAATCGCACGCAGGGTTTCTGAATTGCTGCTACTAGGAGCATGCAACGGCAGCAGCGGGAGCATGAGAAACGGAGAAAGAGAAGCCTTTTAATTCTCCAAAATCTCAAGAAAAAACTGCAGTGGTAGTAGTAGTATGCAGAAATTGAACGAGGATGGCGGGTCAACTCGAATCGAATAAAACAATTGACAGGGGCAGCAAATCAGAGCAGAACCCGAGAAGAACCCACCCACCCAACGGAAATCTCTCGGGCCCTGGACGAAAGATCGGGGCTTTCTTCCTCCTCGCACCCGACCAAGCTCTCCAGAACCAAATCGCATCAAATCGGACGCATGGCTCGCCCAGCCCGCCGCTCCCCCATTCGCACGCACTCACGCACGGCGTGTAGGACGGGGCGGAGACCACCAAACAAACAGCCCGAGAGGCAGGGGAAAGAAGAGAGGAGCGGGGAGCGGAGCAGGAGCTAAGTAGTCGCAGTGGTACCTGCGGCAGGTGGCGGTGGTGGCCGTCGCGGAGCAGCGGCAGTCGACCCCCTCGTGAATCCGATCAGGCGTTGCTTTCAGGGACGGACGGACGGACGGCGGGCGCGGTGGAGTCCACGGAACGGAGGCGGCCGTGGGAAGCAACGGACGGATCCCGTCCTGCACCTCGTGCGGTCGCGTGGGGGAGACGGAGGGGAGGGGGGGAGGGAAGGTGGAAAGGTGCAGGGTTCTCTTCTCCTTCTCTGCGCCTGCCTTGCCTTGCCTTGGAGTTGGCGTCGAGGAGGGTGTAAGTTGAGATCGAAAGGAGGGAGGCTGGCTGCCAGTGTGCTCCACCCAAGCAGTCCCCGGCCCTTTGATGGCTCTGCTGGGGAGTATTTTTATCACGGTGTGAAATGCCTTTATTGCGGTGGAGTTTATCATCCTCTACTACTACTAGTTTTAAATATTTTTCTTGTCCTGATCTAGTGATCTTGCTGTCAGTGAGAATGGGGGACAAGCGGTAACTTTCCAATTGACTTGCAAGGCAGGGGATCCACTTCACCAGAGGAGGCCAGCCACGGATCTTCTACGGTTATATATATCTGTTGTCCCGCCGGCGCGCGTACCATGTTGAAGAATCCTCAATTTATATTATGGGACGGAGGGAATACGATTTTGCACTTCACGGCTCTGCAGGGTACTCGGCTCTCGATGTACATACTCCCTCTTTCCAGGCTCGGTAGGGTGAGTGCGGGTCTTATGTCCTCACTTTATGTTACTTATTAATGGAACTAAATAGCGCGCATATTGTCTCCCGGATTGAGGGCTAGAACCTGCGCACGCCCTAGAAACTCTGACCGAGGGAGAAGATCTCCCCCCACCGCCCTAAATTGCGAGAGCGGGGATGAGATTTGCATTGTCGTTATATTCGTGTAAATCGTAATTTAGAAATTTTATTTAATCGATCCTCGCTGCTATATACATGTAGTAAAAAGTACTCTCTTCATTTTAGAATATAAGATCGTTTTGCAAGCCAACGGTCAAAGTTGTGTATGCGGAGATAAAGAAGGGAATTAACGGATCCAAGGTGGATAATCCAGCTCGGAGTGTTTGGATGTATCTCCCACACACAAGACTGCCCTTTTTCATAGGTTACCACAAGCTATGTGATTCTTTTCTCTCTCTATAGTTGTAGTAGAATCCTATGCTAGTGTTTGGCAGGAGGAAGTACCGAAGTAGGGTGGATAAGATGAGGAGAGCTGCGCACGTTGGATCCCTCCCAACGGTTGGTACGTTGGCGTTGCTCTCCCTCTGTCTCTCCTACCGTGCGTGGTGGCGTGGCTTGGCTTGCCTAGTTGGCTGGCTCCAAAAGCGACCGGGGAGCCGATCCGGAAGGGGCGGACCGTCTGGTCTGGTCTCACCGCGCGTGCCACTCACTCACCCCGCCCCCGCCCGGATGCGTGGTTGGTCGCACGTTTGCCATGCCACCCTCCGGTATACACATATTTTACTCCATCCGTTTCAAACTTGCACTATAAAAATCATGATTTCTTTTGGGGAAAAGAAACATGATTTTCAAGAGACCATGGGCAATTTTCTTGTACTCCCTCTATAAAGAAAATACAAGAGCGTTTAGGTCACTCAAACGCTCTTATACTTCTTTACCGAGGGAGTATCTAGCAATGCCTATTTTGTATGCAAAGTGCGCCTCACAAGACATAACGATATCTGATTTTGCTGGGCTTTTTATTCTCCTTTTTGTGAACCCGGCATTGTTTTAGTGGTTTTCGAAGAAATGACACGACAACAGCAAGAGTATATACAAAATGTGTCCTGTGGGGATGTGAATAGTGACATCGTGACAAAGAAATGTGAAAAAGGTTGCACAAAATTATGATGGCATTTTTTACAGGCCTCCACAGATGTCTTTTCTAGGTGGAACTTTGCATGATGTTTGAATATATATTGATGTCCATCGACAAAATTTTGGTTTACTATTTTATTGGATTTTACTTTTCATCCGGTGATTTGAGCTCGGGACAGAAAATCCAACTAAACTTCTACATACACAAAATCATCACTTTTACATACACAAAATTAAACTAGAGTGTAAGAAATCTCCTTCCTCCTCTCGTCGGCGTCGCCGCCAATCCGCCCCGCCTCCAGTGGCCTTTGGGTCGTGGAGGTGCGAAGGATCTCGACCCCCCGCTGGCGGGAGGGACCTCGTTCTTGTTTTTGTGAGGTTCAACGTCTTGGTTAGTGTGGGGGTGGCAATGTCCCTCCGTACAAATAATGTCGCCGACATCATATCCTCGTCTCGATGGTGTGAATAGCGTCATCGGGGGACGTGCGAAGGTGTGTCTCCATCGGACCTCGCGTTGGTTACTAGACTAGACAAGATTGTCCTTCATGAAATTGGTGTCGAAGCGCCGGGGCTTAAAGCTTGATAAAAGCGAAGTGAGAGAAAAATGGCAATGTAGCATACGTTGACAGGACAGCGTGCAGTGCAAAGCACCCGGTCTATGCACGGTTTTGGCGCTTTTTTGTGTACTGATTGTTATTACTTAAAGCTAGAGAGAAGGCGATCGAATTATTTCGAGCGATTGATTGCTCCATATCGTACTGCATGCTTTGGACGAGTAAGCAATAAGTGTCTCCGTTTCCTCCCTTTCGTTGTAGATCGATCTTTGTGGCCTCGCTAGTCTCCTTTTCACAATATTTGTCCATGCAGAATTTCCACTTTTTTACTGCTACTTAAAACGATTGTGGCAATTTTTCTTTTTGCAAAAAGGGTCCATATCTATTATACAGGTTCGTGCGAGCTGAACGTAACTCATATGGTTCGAGTGGCGCATATAGTGACTTCATCAATCTTAAAATGTTGTGCCGACTCAGTATTTCGGATGTGCTCATAGACATAAGGTGTGCCTATGTGCGTTCATGGGGTGTGTGTATGTGATCAATTGTGATTGTACTGTGTTAGGAAAAGGTTCGTCGGAAATACAAATCACTTCAAACATAATAGAAATTACATCAAGGTCCATAGATAACAAACAACCACTATTGCCGCCCCAAACGAGCCACCGAAGCGCCACTATCTCCCCTCTCATATCGAAGTCGGTCTGACCTTTGTTGATGACAGCTGGGAAGTCTCTATGCGCGTGCCCCTAAGGCCAACGCCCCAGAGCCACAATCGTCACTTTTGAACCTTTGAATCAATATTTGAAGAACCTGAAACCAAATCTCATCATGACGTACGCACAACGAGAAACCCTAACCTCGCCGCCCCGAGAAGTTAGAAGGAATCTACGCCAGAGCTCCGTCCAATCCGTCCCGATGGACAACTCAAGGAGGATCAGAGCCCGAAAGATTTACCCGAAGATGAAACATCTCCATCTACCCAAGCACTGCCCCAAGACTAAAACCCTAACCTATCTACTAACTGGAGCGAGGCACTAGAATTCCCTTCCCCGCTACCGGCCGCCGAAGCGGCTAGCAGAGGGGAGGCAAATCCACGGGCTCGCGGACGGAGATTAAGAGGGGTAAGGCTGTGCGAGAGAACATTGTAACAATATTCTATTCAACTACAAAATGTTTGCCATATTTTACCCCTTATTTGTGACAATGTGGAGGTTTTTTACTCAATGTCACTTTATTCCTTAAAATGAAAACTGGATTAACTTAGATAGCTTGGATGAATAAGGGTATGTATACACTAATTCATGTCAGATTTAATCAAATTCAGTAACGAATGTGTCAATTTTTAGCATGGCTCCACTTTCTTGGTTTGGAGAATTTCTTTGATAAAATTGGTAGAAGCCGTCACAAGGTCACACCAAGTGATAGTGTGCAGATTTTTTGTAACTGGGTAAACATTGTCACAAGGTTAACACTATGGGGAAGTGAAATTTACTCAAAAATATTTGCTCAAGAAATTAAAACAAGTGGCAATCAACTAACAAGTGGAGTATTATTTTACGCAAAAAAGTAAAAAGTAACGACCAAATAAATATCCAAGCCAATTTGCGCCTATCCTAGCTAACTTGGCTGCATGATTTGCTGCTGGTGGCTGCTTGCCATCGTGGAGACAGGCCGTCGGGATCGCCGCGTGTACAATGATTGTTATGGGTGATGATTGCTACGTTTCAATTCATATGTCATATATACATGTGTGTAGTGCAATGCAAGGTAGTGTGAGATCGTCTTGAT